AGCTTCCCTTAGGTGAGCCTTAAGCATTTTTTCAACCAGAGCCATTGACACAAGACAGAGGTGATGTTTGATCCAAGAGCTGAGCAGACACCAAAAGATAAATGTTATAACACTTACCACAACTCAATCATTATTGGCAAGATTGCTCACGAGGATGCAAAGACGCAGAGAATGTGGCCTGAGTTCAGCAGTCCCGAGGCTTTTGGCCTTTTCACAATAATGATACCACTGGAACTTGTAGAGAGTCAGGTTTGGATGTCAGAGTAGAGCAAAAGGAATCACATTCCCCATCCTCTCCTTTTTCTGTATGACCAAACTCAGTTAACCATCATTAGCCAATATCATAGCATCTCTTATATGTGTCTTAAGAACAGTATCCAATTGCTGAGTGAGTTTCCAAAGCATATGTTCTCTGTTTGCACTTAACTGTTTAATTGCCACATACATAGAATGGGCAATTTTTAGCTCACTTGTTTTTAACTTCATTATATTTTTGTTCATACTACATAGCTCCAAGTTTCACAATATAGTTTTGTACTGTATGAAAAATACTTAATTTTGTTTAAATTAATGGCCGTTCTTTATTCTTCTACTGTGAAATAGTCACTTTCTTTCGTCATGTTATAGATCTGCATCATGTTCACGTTCAGTTAGTATTTCCATGCTACAGAATCCTAATCTACCTAATCTCTCTTCATGCAGAACCTGTCCCATGCCTTTGTCACCTCTCTCTGTTTATTTCCATTTCTTCTTTATTATTTTTGAGTTGCAGTAACTAGAATAGCAGGCACTATTTAAGGAGGATAGGTTTAGTACCAGGAAATAAAACTGAGGCATGATTTTTTCCAATAGAAGAGGTGATTTAACAAGAATGCAGAAATAAAAGCTTTTTCTTTCATACTCAAAATTCAGTAACAACATAAGTGTTTTTTAGCAATAAAACTGTGTCACATACCAGAGTTTAGTGTGATCACGAATGTTTTTAGGTAGGTTACCAGAACACCACTCGAAGCTAGAAGGACTGACCTGAAATTGCATGTGGTTCAGAACAGCCGCTGCTCAACTAAACAGCTCAGTAAGAACATTAAATAATGGGAAGACACATCTTGAGACATGTTCTTCAAATATGACCTCTAAGTGAATTTAAAGAACTATTTACAGCCAAAACTCGTGAAAAAATAAAGCTCTGCACTGTATATCTACAATCGTGTAACAGAACTATCAAGGTCCCTATTTTACTTCCAAATCACTGTAAATAGTGAAGAAGAGCTGAGGCCGTTTCTATAGACCAATCACACAAAACATATGGCTTTCTGGCCAGATTTTCTGGCCAGAGAAATACAACTCCCATTACTGTCAGCATATTGGATGTCTGTGAGAACTCTCAGGTTATACGTGTACTGGGCCAGTGTACTGTTATGTCTAAAAATCTGAAATGATAACATTTTCCGATCCCTGCCAGATGTCATGTTTGCAAGTCCAAAAGGAAGGAGAAATCTTGGAAAGCAGCTGAAAGCCCACTCAGTCAGTCCTGTTTTGGCTCATAGTACAGATAAACCTTGACTACTGCTGGAAAAAGCATTCCTTGATAGCTGATGGTCCGTGTCTGGAGGGATAGATTATTTAACAAGTATAAGTATATAAAGTCATATGTATTAATGGAATATATTTAAAAAAAAAATTTCCTCTCTGTGGGTCTCCACTTTTTTCTTTCTATCTTATGATTTCTGCTCTCAAAGATAAAAATTTCTTGCAGCTAATTGTTGAATTAAGGTGTAAAATATAGATCTAGAAGGAAGAAAAAATTCATCTCCTATTTTTCCTCAGAAACAGAAAATATAAAGAACATTCATTTGTGATTTGAGAGATTGGGAGCGGTTATTCATTGTGCAACAAGTAACCGTTGGTTTGGCTCAACAGTGTAAAAGTTTTGGCGTGTTAGAAACCGGGGGGATTTTTCTGTGCTCTGAAGCAGTGTAGCTCCCTACTGGGAGTTACTGCCGAGGTGTGATTTCTTCTATAATGCTTCGTATTGCAGAATTTGTAGGTAATCTGAACTTTAAAGCGTTCCTCCCGTGAATGGAATACTTCTTTCCCTTCCATGTTCACAACTGGTTTTGGTTCCTTTAAGAAAAATATAACAACCGTGTCCAAATGCATGAAGTTATCCGTCACAGCCGAGCTGCGTGGTACAGTGAGTAGTTTGATGAGCAGTGAAATGAACAACATTTTCCTTTGGCTCCTGCATCTTTTACACTCCCAGACGCATGGCAGTGAATTGGGCTCTCCCGCAATTTTATTGCAATGCATCCTCTGGTACCAGGAGTCCCCTTCTGTAGGACTTGTGCCCCCTTTCCCTCTCCTGAACTTCTCTCTCTTCATTCCCTTTCCCCGTCCTCACTGCCCTGCCAGCATCCGCCCTTGTCATACTCCCTATCCCCCTGTTATGGTCAGAGTTAGCAAGTGCTGGGGCTGGCCGAGCGTGTGAGTTCATGCAGGCCGCGCAGCCACCCGGGGAGAGAGACTCTCTGCCATCTTCTGCTGTGGGCAGGGGGCCGAGGGGTCTCACCACTGGCAGATTTTACTGTATATTTCCTGTTATTTTATTCAAGATGCACAAATTTACTCTCTGCCTTTTAAATCTGAGGGAACATAGCCAATGTGCTCAAAGCTGACCGCAAGAAATTCACTGATGGTAGAAAAGAGGCTTTCAAGATTCTGCAGTTTAAAAAAAAAAAGATTTTCACAGATTGTTTTGTCTGCCATAGGGAAAATCATTTTAGCAAACTTGGTTTTGTATAGGTCCGGTAGATAGATTGCTGCAGCCTTAGTTCTGCTGATTAATAATCACCAAATTGTCCTAATATTTTTAATTTTGTATTTTTAATTTAGCACGTGAGTCAATGTTAATTTTAATTGTTTGACTTACTTTGTTTTCTTTGTGTTTCTTTCTCCGTGTGCCTCACAGTAATATCTGGGTTACAGCAAGAAATGTCGAAGTTTAATTATGCAGCATGGACCTGTTGTGTCCCAGTCATGAAGCCCATGTCCCTTCTGCTGCACCACACGAGGGAGCTCCCCTTCTGTCCTGCCACCAAGGCACTGGGGCACGTGTGGCCTTGTGAATGTCTGTCCAGAGGTTGGCACTGAGTTTCTGCTGTCACCTGAACAAAACTCACATAAACCGTGCAGCGATTCCTTGAGACGTACTGGGGACTTACAGTTTATCTCAGCATGGTTTTTGATTTAACACCAGCAATAAAGTTTGCACTGTAACCTCCCAGTATATACAGAAAGTTTAATTACATGCAGCCCATTCAGAATTACCTAAATGATGCCTTTTGTATCACCTGTCTTTGTCTGACCCTTTAGTGGGTCTAAATAGCAGAAAGAATTTCTGAGACAAACATCTAAGGAAGAAAAAATAATCGGATTTCATTTTATCTTAAATTATGTCTTTTATTATTATAATTCCTAATGCATTATTTCCACTGTTGAGAGATACCCGTGATACTGGCAAGTGTACTGAGTTCTTAGGCTGTAAAATCATGATGTGCTAACCTTGCATGCTAACCAATGCAGCTGCTGCAGCATTAACATGGTAAAATCATGATGTGCTAACCTTGCATCTCAGATCTAGGCAGCTGCTGCAGCATTAACTTAGAGAAGCTGAAGCTGACAAAACTGAGAAAGTGGCTGACAAAGTTGCGGATAAAGACGCAAATGTTTAGAAGGGAGTTTTTTAGTGTAAAAGTTCAGTTATGTGAAATGAGGAAACACTCGTGCTCCTAGACACACACTGTCCCTTTAATAAAATGGCTTGGTCTCCCATTCATCTCTGGCTAAGTGCCTGCCTATTTTCATTTAAACTTTGGCCAACTGAACAGGAATAATGGACCGTAAGGGATCTAGATGCAAAGTAAAGCCATTTGCAAGTGGCTAGACTATTTATTTACAGATTGCCTTATTTACTTAAATCATAGTTTCCAGTGTGACCTACTGGATGTGTTTTTTATACTGACAGCTTATTCAATTTGCAGTTTGCTGCTTGAATGCCTTGGAGGTAAGAGGCTTATTAGGTTATTTCATTTGTATTTTTAGGGGACTATACAGGTAGATTCTGTATATGCAACTTGAATGGAGTTGGAAATAATATGTAAGGATATTTAAAGCACTTGTTCATGCATGTTATCCTCTAATCATGTTTAAAAGTAATTATTGTAAATTACTGGCACTTTTTTGAAAATCATATTTAACAGAGTTCGCTTTTCACTAGAATCAAGTTGATTCACTAGCAAAGAACTTAGTGTTCATTTTGTTTATATTTATAGTCGTTATAATCCAATATTGCCTTTGTAGAAAATAGTACATGCTTTCTGTTGCAGTCTTGTAACATTAATAACACATTCATGCTTGGAATTTCATTACTTAACTACTTTTTTTATAAAAAGTTGTTCATACTGATGATTCAGACCTAGGTAGTATATCTGTATCCAAAAATACCCAGGTCTCTGCTATTCCTAACAATTAAGGGTTTATAGAAAGAAATGAGCCTCTGTTTTGTGTAATATTAACTATTTATTTAACTATTTTTATATAATTATTTTACTAGCAATATATGTTAATACCGACATGCTTTAATAACAATTTATTTTACCCTTTGTTAGTTGTTCAAATGAAAGGTAAAGATACCACTGATTATTTTTTAACAAAGGGAATGCTGCATTTGTTTTACATATATTTTTTCTAGTAAAACAGATTCTAATATAGAAGTATGTGAGCTAAAATAGAGATTGCACGGGCTGCTATGCTAAATTCACCAACCAAAGGAATTTTATAACTTTTTCATACATGTTGTCTCCAGAATTCCAACAGTGCTTCCCATGAATGTGTACTTTAAATAAAAAGTATATGTATTTGTTCATTCTGTCTATCTATTAATAAAGCTTTTTTTTTTTTCTTAACAGGAAGGAAAAGTCTAATTTAGGATCAGAGTCACTATGTGGAACAAACATTCTTTATTTTGCTTTTTAATTCTGGCTGTGACCACAAACCAGATAGTATATGGGCAAAGAAATAAAGGAAAGAATGTTTATTCTCATGTGCAAAAATATGAAGGTAAAACCATTTTCTTAGAATTTCTCATTGCTCACGTAGTATGTCTCTTTATTTTTCAGGATAATAACCTACTAATCAGCATCTTATATATTTTTTTACAATTCATTTTGATCATGAGGCCTGGAAAAAATACTTTGGTATACTTTATTTAGCCATACAGTCCAGTTTGGACTATCATTTCATTTGACACATATAAAATTGTTTTAAGTGATAAGAAGCCTATCTTTTAGTTTGAATTTGCATGTGGAAAATTGGTAATTTGTATAGAAAACCAATTAAAATGCTAAAACAATCCTATCAAGATCTAATTTGAATGTTTTTGACTTTAAACTGTCCTTAATACTGATATGAATTAAACTAGCTAAATTAAATTAAATCGAATTTGCAGTGATGTAATTTAGAGTGAAATTTTTCCTCAGAATTTTTTACTGGGAAGAGGAAGGAAGATTTGAGGGAATGGTTTGAATATTAGGCATGTCTCAGAGAATAGCCTAAAATCTGTAGTGCAAGTATGCCAACCACTCATAGAATTAACTTTCTTCTTCCATTACAGGTGATATTTGTCTCATTGATATAGTCTTTATCTTGGACAGTTCAGAAAGTGCCAGAAATCAGTTGTTTGATTTACAGAAAGAGTTTGTTCAAAATTTAGCTGACAAAATTTTCCAGATGAAGCCAGTAAAATCTCAGCAATACAATGTCAGACTAGCAGGTATGCAGTTCAGCAGCACAGTCAACATTGATCATCCATTTACTGCTTGGAAGAATGTGCAGAAGTTTAAAGAGAAAATCAGTTCTCTGGGCTTCATTGGCCATGGCACCTACTCCTATTATGCAATTTCCAATGCCACTCAACTCTTTAAAACTGAAAGTCATAAGAAAAGTGTAAAAGTGGCTTTTTTAATGACTGATGGTGTGGATCATCCAAACAGTCCTAACATTCAGGGTATAGCCACAACAGCCAGGAGTCTTGGAATACATTTTTTCGCCATTGGCCTTTCTAAGAAAAATGTCCAAGAAGGAAAATTGCGTTTGATATCTGGTGATTCAGCTTCTAAATATGTCTTATGCCTGGATGATGAGAACCTGATAGCTGATACAGCTCTGGAACTGGTAAGTAATGCTGAGTGGACTTAAGGGACTGGAGCATCTATCGCATGAGGAAAGACTAAGCGAGTCGGACCCGTTTAGCCTGGAGAAGAGAAGATTGAGAGGGGATGTGATCCATATGTATAAATACCTGAGGGGAGAAGTAAAGATGATAGGGCAAAACTCTTCCTGGTGGTGGCTAGTGACAGGAAAAGGGGCAATGGGTCCAAATTAAAACACAGGAAGTTCCATCTCCATGTGAGGAAGAATTTATTTCCTGTGAGGCTGACAGAGCCCTGGAACAGGCTGCCCAGAGAGGTTGTGGAATCTCCTTCTTTGGAGATCTTCCAAACCCACCTGGATGCCACCCTGTGGCATGTGCACTGGGTGTCCCTACTTGAGCAGGGGGATTGGACTAGATGATCTCTAGAGGTCCCTTCCAATCTCAACCATTCTGTGATTCTGTGTGATTCTATTCATGGCAAATTTCATTTAATTCTGAGTAGTCCTGAATGCAGTTCAAAGGTCTGCAAGTGAGCTGGGGGCTGGAGCTGACCTCAGGCTTGGGAGTTCAGGAAGTTTTGAAAGATTGGGTGTTAATACTTACAAATGCTGGGCTCCAGAGTTGGTTGTAAAGAAGATCAGTAACTGTGGGCTCAAAAACTGTCTGAGGTTAAGGCAATATTGAGCAATACTGAAAATCCTTTTTCATGGGACTAATTCCATAGGATAGTTAATAGCACCGTAAGAAAGACATTTACTTTCTTTACCATTCACATTGGAAATTTTATAACCTAGAGAGATTTATAGAAGCATAGAATGGTGGAGGTTGAAAAACACCTCTGGAAATCATCTAGTCCAAGGAGACAAAGGGTTAAATGAATACACTACTGAAAGAAATATATAGGGAAATAATATTTTTCTTTTCTTTTCAGGAAACCTTACTTCAGAAGCAGGTAGGTTTTTTGTTTTTGATAACCATTTTGAGTACAAGATATTTCTTTTTCTGCTAATACCTGCTTCTCCTATAATGCAACATTATAGAAGAATACACTGTAGGATTGATCAATTTTCCTGCCCTGAGTAGAAGTCCCTAAAATGGTTGGGCTTTTCTGTAGCTTTCATCCATTTTTCCATCTCTTTTCATGATAAATCTATAACTTCGGTTCATTAGTGCAAAAGTAAGCCATAAGGAGCTGTTCTAACCAAAGTGGAATAGGGCTAGCACAACAAATGCAAGTTCATTAGCTGCCTCATTATAAGATAATGTCAATATTATTCAAAATTATGTATTATTTTGTATACTACTATGTGTATGTAGCCTTAAGTATTTGTATGCTATATCTGATTTTTTTGTATAATAAGTAAAGTTTGGTATTCAAACTCTTTTAGGTTGGGCTATACAGAAATATAATGTTGATTATATAAGAAATATATTTTATAAGAATTTTTTTTCCATGTTATTTTGCTGTTACACTCTCCAGTATATGTCTAGGCAAAAACAGACTTTATGCTCTAAAACAATTCAAAGATGCACTTGAAAATGTTCTCCTCAATCTTTCTGTTGACATTTTAGTGTATGCGGAAGATCTGTGAGTGTGAAAAGGGAGTAAAAGGAGACAAAGGTGATTCTGTAAGTATGTGTTCACTTGAAAAGCATCCGAAAAATGAAAATTAGTCATTGAGATCAATACTACACAGCATTTTAATCAATTATTCCTTTTGCAAATAAACTTTTCCTGTAAAAAAACGTATTAGCCATGCCTTTACTGCAAACAGAAGTGTTGTGTCATAGGATAGATCACTTAGTCAAAGAGTTACTTCCACCAGTGGCTCTTGTTTGTGTAAAAGGTAAAGGCTCAAAAGACTTAGGGTGACAACAAATGTGAATAAGGGGCCAGAACTCTTGTTTCCACCACTCTTTTCTCTTGAGCGCTTGAGCACATAACTGTTTCTTGGCAGATAGTCTTCAGATAGTCATAGCTTCTTTGAAGCAGATGAGAAGGGGTGGTAAAGGGTATCTCTGAAAAACCGGGAGGAGGGAATGTGTTATTTTCTGTGGTGACACCTTGCTGGTTAGATTTTATTATGCTCTATTTTGCTAAAGTAAATAACATGTTTACTACTGAACATTGATGAAAAAGAAATTGCGGATATATAATATTATGATACCAGAAGAACCATTCATCAAGTGGAGGTAGTGTAACATCTGACTTGCCTGTGTCAGTGTGGATTTCTGCCAGCATGATTTTGGCCTGCCCCAAAGCTACAGTCTTAAAGAAATTGGAGAAAATTATCCTTAAAATAATATTTTCCTATTGTCTCAGGGCAGTATTGGTGGCAGAGGGGAGAAAGGTGAGCCAGGACCAAAAGGAAACAAGGTAAAGTTTTTTGTTTGTTTGTTTGTTTTTTTAAAAGTAATTTTCTGCCTAGCCTTTTGAAACCATAGAAGTGAAGACAGAAAAGGAAAGGTGTGGTTAAAATGGTTAAAAAACTGGACTTTGCTATGATAAATTTACAGTTATCTGCTTTAGAAGCCAGAGAGAAAAAATGAAACTAAAATGCTACCAAGTTAACCTGCCTGTTGTTCAAGCCTTTCTCTGTCAGCAGAGTTCTCTGAATCTGATGAAAGGCTCATTAAATACATGGGAGCTTTTTAATACTGCAGAAATCTCTCATAGAGTGGGGCTTGCAGGGCTGATTACTAATATTTCAGACACTTTAGATTTCAGTGCTAATGTTCAGTACTCTGTGTTCTTGACTCTTGGAAGAACTTTTGTAAACAGGAAAAGCAATTTCTGATCTTAAAGAATGTCCTAGGTTTTAGTATAATAATAAAAAACAATAAATAATAAAATAATAATAGTAAATAATAAAAGAGCAATACATATTCTTATTATTTTGCTTCTAATAGGGTGATGCTGAAAAAGGAGATCATGGAGAAAAAGGTGAAGAGGTATGTGACTACCACAGTGCTAATTCATGTTTGGTTTTCAGATTATTTTCCAGGTTTCTGGGGATATCACATTTCAATTCCACTAAATTCTGAATTGAAAATGTGTTTTCCAGTTTTCACACGTATTTTCAGACTCGTCTATTTTTAATTATTTATAGTACCTAAACTAAGTTCTGGCTTACTGAAGCATCTATACTAAGAGAAGCACATTAAAACCACATTTTTAAGTGTTGGAATGGTATTGGCAAAAGTTTTGAACTTGTATGATTTTGTATTGACTTGCACTGTACATATCCTGAAGACAGAACTGAAGATGCCATCAGGAAGAACCATCTAGATAGTTCTCCAATGGCTTCTGTCATCTGATATTTCTCAGTGTAGATTCTTCTTGCTTCACAGTAGAAAGACTCATGGTAGTTCGTGCATGAGATGAATTCTGTTTCAAAATCCAGTTTAAATTGTAGGTTATATTTGTGAAGTGGTTGTCAGACTTGAATATTTGCAGCTAACTGTCATAAATATACATTTCTCAGTTTATAGAGAATTATAAGTTAAATGATTCCAGAGAGATAATTTTTTTTCCTGAAGAGCTAAACTTATTAAATGTAATTCTTTAATATCTTTTTCTTCCAATTTAAGAGTGCATCATGCCTTTACATTCTCTTTTATGATTTCTCTTTCTAACTTTTTTTTGTTATTATTGCTGTTTTTGAACAGGGACCTCCTGGTTATAAGGGAGAAAAGGTAAGATTTTAAAAGAATAGTAATAGTGTGAAAACAGTTTGTCACTTGGTGTACATGAAAGAATGAAGATAAGGGTCTGTCGTCTTCTTGTTATGAAATGCACTTCGATGAAACACACAGGATTGTTCATGACAGTAAATTCGTCATTTATGGAATTTGTTTGCTGACTGGCTTTCCAGAATTAAAGGAAAAAGATCAGAAAATACAAATTTAAATATAAAAGACCAAAAACAAAGCTGCTAGAAGGAAAAAAATGTCTTAGGGTTGAATAAAATAGTAAGCAGAAAGACTGCGAAATTGATTACTACAAACACAAAAAGATGGGGCATTCATTAGATTTTTTTTTAAAAAAAGGCAAGGATATTTATTTTTAAGCTACCATATAATATCATATAGCACCACTTCAAAGACTTGCAAGATTCTGGAGCCTAACTTCACATTCAAAACATCATAATGAATACTATGCTCATTTTGATTTGCTTGATCTGGACCTTATCTTTCCAAGGATAATTAATAAAAGCAAAGCCTCTTCTGAATCTCTGTGTTCACAGTAAAACTTCAGTCAGTTTTACAGATACATTTCCTGGAAAGAGGAAAAGTAGATTCATACATATTTGTTAACTCATCAGTAGAATGCATTATTAATTCACTTTCTTCATTCCATGGGTACAGTCTTACAGTGTCATTCAGGAAAATCTCAGCTGTCACAGGATCTCTGGAGGCAGTGCAACAACCTGGAAAGATGCAGCAAGACTTATCAGATACTAAATATGTTATCCTCTTACTATGTAGATTTTGTAGGCATTGTCAGGGAGAAAAATTATGTATCTTGACCAGAATTGAGATACTACAGACCATATCTAATGGTGCTTCTGGCCCTCAGAAACTATTAACACTGTTACACTACTAAGATGTTTGCAAAGTCTTTAATGCCTCATATGCAAAAAAAGTCTTGTTTAGTTGTTAACTATTTAATTTTTTATAAAGGGTGAAAGAGGAGAATGAAGTAAAATTTTTATTAAAAGGTTTGCATATGTCAATGGAGATATTAAAAATCATGCCACATTTTATGAAGACAGTTTTATTCATTATTATTATCAAATTAGAGCTTCTTATAATTCTGTGAAAATAGGGATACATTCTTTGTAAAAATGCTGTTTATTGAAACAATACTTAACTAAATTCTTGTTTTGCATTTTGCAGAAAAAATGTAGTCATCTGCCTAAAACAAAGTCCTGTTTACACAGTACTGTCAAGGGAATACACCAAAAAGTTCACCAGATTTTTTTCCTAGAAATGTAAATAAACTTGTTTAAAATTATGGTTTTGGAACCAGGTTCTTATGCAAATCAAACAACTTTGAGAAGAGATCTACTATCCTATCCATACTGTTATGTGTTCACTTCTATTTGTTCTTCTGAGCAAGCATGGAGCAAACATGCTCACATATATAGATGTATAGCCCACTACACAGAAGGAAAATATAGCACTCACACAAACCAACACCAACATCGTCATCCTGTTCTACTCTCTAGTTGATCAGGGTGAAGTTCTTTGGAGGGAGATACACAGACACATGCACATATACATACCCACACACATATATAAAGGCATCTCGCTGTAGAGGTGCTTTTATTTTTTTATTTCTTTCATTATAAAGGGAGTCACATCTGACTAGTTCAGATGAGATATCCACAGTTTAGGTATTGAAAGGTTGGTGTAGGATGAATCCACAGCTGGATGGAAAGGACAATGTACTCCTGAATGGATTAGTTGTGTATCTTGAGTTACCATAAGCAGATTTGTACGATTACTACAAACCATTGATTTATGGTCAGTTTTCATTGTACTACCAGCTAGATTGCAGTTCATTGTTCTTTCAAAGCGTATTTCTTCAGCATTATTTTCATCAAAGATAAAACTGACAAGTTTGTAGTTCCTGGAGCACTGTCATTTAATGATGAATTTCTGGGAAGAACTAGGAAATCTTTAAATCAACAATATTTATCACAAAGGAAAAAAACTACATTTATTATAATACAATAAAAATCTAAAGACCGTGTATAACTTGTGAGATGCTGGGTTTTAAAGTGAGAACAAGTGAATTGCAGAAAAGACTGAACTATTAATAAAGAAAGAGTTGCATCTGTCATACGAATAAGAAAGGTCATAACTTCTTTATCGAGGCAATATGTGAGAAATAACCATAGCTTATACAAAATGCCTATTAAGATAAAAGGAAGCTATTCAGAAGCTGGCCAAGAACATATTCAAAGCAGCCAAGAAATCTGGATGTAGAAAACACATGCCAGGGCTGCTGGAAATTTGTTTGCTTCCTTTCTGTTGAGAACAGAGATGAAAAAAAATAACATCTGTAGTGGTTCAGAAATTATGAGGGATTATGGACTTCAAGAACTTAGTGAAAAAAAGAGAATTATGGTCACAATCAGAATTCCCAGCCTCACACATACAAACACAGAAGAAAATAGAACAAAATTATTATTTTGTTTTATTAAGGTTTTTTTTAAGCAAACTTAGCTAGGAGAAGAACATCGGAAACATCTCTCTACTTTCCGGTTTCACTGATTGAACTGACTTTGGCAGAGGTTTTGTTGATGAAAACTCTTTAAAAGCTAATAAAGCTTGAAATTCAGAGAGTTTGTGATTAGTCTTGAAACCAAAACTAATACTAATTGTGCATGTGTTCTACCAAAAGTAACTATCATCACATCAAAATATTATGTGTGCCATGTTGCTTGAGTAACTTTGTAAATGGGCTAGAACTCAGTGAGTTTATATATTTTCTTGGTATTTAGTTCTCTGACTGAGTGTAGAGAATTGTTACAATTTCTGAGTCTGAATCTGGATGGGAAGGTAGTAGAGTGTAATTGTGTAGGTGTCACTGCTAATTTCCTTGAAGCTATTAGAGGTTCAAAATGTGACATATGCTTTGAAAGATGGAGCAGATGTACATAAATAAGAATAAGATAAATAAGAATAAGAAAAGCCGGGGGAAACTACTCTATTTGCTGAAAAATATTTTTACTTTGGCGACAATTTAAAACTGAGTATTGAGTCAAATGGAAGTTAAATCCCATGGACTGTGCATTCAGATGACTCACAGAATCACAGAATCACAGAATAGTGGAGGTTGGAAGGGACCTCTAGAGACTCAAGAAGTAATAATGCAGCAAAAATACTTGTGAAAAAGCTACAGTAGCAGGAACTGGCAAGAACTGTTTAAATGGTGTAATGACAACTAATAGAATAATGAAATATGGCATTTTAGCTTTGAGAATACAATTCATAATTAGTTTTTGCAAAGTAGTACTATGGAGAGACTCCTCTCTAGAAAATGCTTGAATAGAGACATATGTCATTACATATTTTTTGGTTTTTTTTTGTTTGTTTGTTCATGTTTGTTACATGTATGTTGTTACATACATGTGTTTGCATTTTGTATTAATTTGATTATTTCATCTATTTTTCCTTAGGGTTTGGAAGGTGCTTTTGGGCCTAGCGGACCTCGGGGACCTCAGGTAAGGGTACTGAAATCTCTCCAAGAAAAAGAAGGCATGCTGTTTGCTTTAAGTTTCTGCAACAAACAACTTGTGAACTTTGTGCAGAACGGCATGTTTGGTAAAGATAGCAAAGTCTGGCAAATCTTTGTCTCTGTGTCTTTAAAAATAGCTTTTAAAGGAATATTCTTGATGTCTGCTTAAGGCTATTCTGTGGATCCACAGTCCATTGAGGGTCCCAACCGAAGAGCTCTCAATTTACCCTTACAGTAAAATCATGCTGAATCGATCTGTCAGTTCTTACATCTCTTTTATGTTACATGGCAGCTTCCCCTGCCGTATCTGAAGTTGGACAAAGTCCTCCTGAAACGTAAGACAGATAAAGAAACTAAAATTGATTGCAGACTAAAATCTGACAGGGTTATTTTAAACCCTTGGAAATATCAGAGAAAGTTCCAGTCCTATTAGAAGCAAAACCTATTACCTGTCTTAGATCAGTTATTTATTTTCAATAAGCTATGTAAGAAACCACGCCTTGCTCTTCTTTTTTATATAGTTGCTGAAAAGTTTTACTGCTGTCTTTGTGTGTCTTACAACTTCCATAGTTTCCCTAAAAAAAATGGTGGCAGACACCTAAAAAGAGCTGCTTTATGTAGCAGAGCTCTCAAGAATTTATAACATTTTTCCTAGTAGATCCATAGGTCATGTGGAATGAAGACAGATGGCTCTTTTACCCATTCATTTCCCTAACGAAAAAGTTTATTTCTGAATTAGATGAATGAAAACATGATGGAGAGCATAATAAATTAATGGGAATTTATTCTGTGGAAATAAGATGTGTGTCATTTAATATTTTTAACTATGTTTTCCAGCTTCATTTTAGCTTAGTATTGGAGATGCAACAATGCTACATAGTTATTGTGTTATTAGCTTATATAATGTACATAGCAGTTATTATTTTGTGCCCTAGTAATTTTGGTTTTGTCTAGTATGCAAGTAGTAAGTATATAGTCCCTGTCCAAAAAGATGTCACTTAGTTATTCCTGTTTATTAGGATATAGAAAATATAGAGTCTAATAGATTTTTGATGAATCTTCAGATTAAATAATGAGACAAATCAGATCAGCAGCACGTCCCTACATCGGTTCAAATCACCATGCACTGTATGTTCAGTTTTGTACACTCTGTGAAATACCAGCTGCTGTTGCAAATCAAGCTATCTCCAACGTCTTCTCTAAATTCATCTCTAAAGTAATCCCTCACTATATAATAAGGCAAAACCAAATTTAAGTTAATAACCTCCTTTTCATACATACCATTGTTCCTTTTCATATACACCATCATTACAGTTACTTCTACGATATCTCTGTTTCAAGCTTAATGTTATATCTTGTCGTATAGCACAATGGTCTACATTCAACTTAGGTTTGAAAGGCTCATTGCACAAAATATCGTAGCTGTTGAAGAACAGACACAGATGGATGTTCCACTCTAACAGAGGACTAATCCACAAATTACAAGGATTTACTGTGGTTCTCAACTATGGGAACTAAATAATTACCATGGGAACTACAGCTCTCTCAATGACTAAAAAGAACATAACATGAAATGAACTTCAGAGTGATTTATCTTAATTTTTGTGTTTATATTAGCACATTCTATACCATGATGCCTGAAGGACATTTCTTTTTAACTGTTGGGGCATTTGTCCATCTCACATCATGATCACTGTTCTTTTCGTCGGGAAAAATAGCTTAAAGAAGAATGTGATTTTTCAAAGCCTCTTTTGGAAATGCTTTTGAAATACTGTGAGGTTTAGAAAATTTTTGATTTATATGATATGACCTTAAGATATTAACAAAATAGAAGAAAATTTGCTCCCCTTGAAACAAAGAAAATTCAAGATTTCTTAAAGTGTTCAAGAATCCTTATTGTTTAATAAGCCTATTAAACAACATATAATTGTTTTTGCACACTAGACCACTTGATGAACTGCCATGTTCTTATGAAATAATTAATCATTCCTAAGTTTGCAAGGCTAAGCTTGGAATATAAGTATATTTTGGAAGACTATTTTAGTTTTGTTTACTGTCTTCCCCCCAATGATTGGCTTATGATCTGTATAACTGTTACTTAGGTGTATGGTTATGTATTTGCATGCTTTGTGCAAAAATTGGAATTGTTCTTTAGCCATTTTTTTCTGACTTACACATCATGGAAGATACAAAATTACAGATATTCCAAAAATTTTGCATTTATTGTTTTAAGGTCTAACTGTAATTTTCTTGAGGATTTACTTTAGCTATTAATGACTATAGCTTAAATAGGTCATTCTTCTTTCTCTTTCAATAGTCATTTGTTATAGATTTTCCTGTCCTGAATAGTCAGGACATGATGGCTTAGTTAATTTACTTGTGCAGAGAATTCTTTGCGGAAGTGCTAATATGGAAGTATGGCAGCATCAGAAGTAGGAGTAAAAAGTAGCAGAAGGCTTCAGATAAAACTGTTGCAATTAACATGGAGTAATAAGATACCATTTCTGCCATCATGGGTTATTATTTATTATCCATACAGGGATATGCACTGGGGCTTTGTCAGAATATGCTACAGAAAATTCTTCTCCTTAAGAGACTAACGTTGTGCTACATTTTAGTGTGTCCTGTTCAGGCCTTCTTCAAAAGAAACTTAACGTGCATCTTCAAAAGAAAATAATTATATGCTCTGAATTTTGTGTAGGGAGTCAGTGGACCTCCAGGTGAGCCAGGCCCAAAAGGCATTCAAGGAAGCAAGGTAAGATGCAATTATATATGTGTAGCAGCTATGCATGTGTAGATGTTATGTAGGGAGAGTTTGAACACAGAACATTAAAACTTAATTTAGAATCTGAAGAATGAGTTTTTAAAGTAATTTTTGAATTTCCATTGTACTGCAAAAAACAAGAATGACTTGTAAAATTTATAGGGGGTATAAGATTTGGTGAAGATTAATGCATCAGTTAAAAGAGATAATGAGTACAGCTTGTCAAACAAAATCAATTGGATTATCTAATTAATTCAAGCAGTCTCTTAATTTGCCAACCTTTGGTAAATAGCTGCATGTGAAGGCAGCTGTCTTGCCTTTGGGATACTTGTTAACATCATAGTTTTGTACAGAAAGATCTTCATTCATCAGTTTGAAAATGTAGGGTCTAATGATAGTTTACCACAGCTTTTTTTTTGATAGTCTCATTAATACAATACCCTATCTAAGCTAAAAATCACATAAAACAGTGCCCAAGATACAATACATAAACATTCATGTTTTGTTTCTTAGGCAACAGGTTCATTTGAAGATTCACAGAAATAGTTTTAGATGTAGGAAATATTTATGGTAGAAATCTTGGAATGCTGGCATCCGTCAGGATTTTCCTCTTCCTGACAAGTGCTTTTTCATATTTCTTGTTTGTTCCTCTTTTCAATAAAATGCTTGATTAGGAAAGCTATTATAGCTTATTTCAGAAGAGAGAGAAAAAAAAGAGGATGATGCATCTGAAAGAAGCTATTCATGAATGTAGTAGAAAAGTCATGCCTCAAATTTCAGTGCAGCAAAAGACAGTATATTTTTTTAATCTGTCATTTCATACTGACAATTCCAAGATAGTTCTACCAGATACTTTTATAATATACTAAACCATATTTGTCATTTTTTTGTGTCTTCCTGTCAGTCCCCTCACATTCTTTGATGTTTGTAAAACACATGCATGTCTCTGTACAGATACTTCATTTACCTGTGTACAATATTTATTGCCTCTTGTTATCCTCAGGATCAGATTTTCAATATGAAAGAAGAAAATGTGTTTCTTCTTTCCCAGCTTCTAACTCTGCTGTGTGCAGCCTAAAAGACGGTTAGAATTTTTGCAGACTCCTGCATTTTTAATAATATTTCCAGCCAAGTGTAACTAATGCACTTAGGTAATTATATTTAGAGCTAAAGAATATAGAGGAAACAAATACATCTCTTGTCCATACCTTGTGCCAAAGCTAAATGTTGCATTTCTACAAGGCTGAGGATATTTGAGATGAGTAGAAGAAATTTTAATGATCCGCACGGATACTCAGTAGTTGTTTAAAGTTTGATAAGCACCCATTCAGTTGGAAAAGGTCAAGGCCTTTTTTGGTTCAAATGCTTAGCAATCTTTCCGATATCTTTTGTCTTTACAGAAAGATTATTGAAGTGCTCTTTTAAAATTAGTTTTCATGACACATCATACAATGTGTCTGAAAAGTAGCAGTTATTTATAACTGTCTTGGATAAAATAAATGTCTATTCTTAGTGCAGTTCCACATACTATGGTCTTTCCATGCTAATACTGACTGTTTATTGAGCTGAACCAGTGACATCACCCTGGTTTAGCAGAGCTAAAAGCAGTTTCATGGCATTAGTATCAATTTGACATAACACAGAACTCCATCACTGAACATTTTTATTCATTATTAGAGGGCCATGTCGAGGTTTGAAAGACTATATTCAGTTCCTCAAAATATAAACTCCAGACCTCCAGGCTCCTACACACTTTTTGGTCTCTCATCAGGCCTACCTTCACTCGTATGTCTCACCAAATCAGTTAATATCTCACACATCTCTAACACAGTGTGATACCCTCCCTCTTGCTTTGCCATGCTAGCTGGCAGATCCAGCTGCATGGCAATGTCTTTATGTGCTGTCCATATGCTTATGATTCTGGTGGCTTCTCCTTTGGAGATCTTCAAAACCAGCCTGGATGAATCTCCGGGCCATGTGCTCTAGGTGACCCTGCTTGAACAGGGGAGTTGGACTAGATGTTCTCTAGAGGTCCCTTCCAACCTCAAGCATTCTGTGATTCTGTGAAGATGTGGAGCTAAAAATCCTTTATTTTTAAAAAGGAAAGCAACTTTTACTTGATTAATTTCATTTTCCTTGTCGGAAGCAGGGTAACATCAAACTACTTCAAAGAACTTTTCATATCCCACTTTAGCTGTTATTCATGTGCATTTTCTTATTCACTCTTAAGCCATTGGCTGACATAGTAGAGTTTATTTCTTACTGACTGGACAGTACTCAAATCCCTTTTTGTTACTTTGCCCAATCATACAGTCACTGATCAGCTCAGTCATTCTCAAGGTCTCATTGCTTGCACTGAACATAATAGAAACCTAGTGATTCTGTCATAGAACTCATCTGTTTTAGGCATTACTTTAAGTTTTACTTAAATTTCACAGTGATAACACAGTTCTCTGTTCCTCTCGTCTGAGTGTCTTGGTACCTGTAGGCACCAATTTCCTCGATGTTGCCTTAACAGTACATCAGTTTCTAAAACTGAGTTTCCTAAAACAGAGGCTAATGGAACATACTTACTGCTTGCCTGGCTTATGACAATTTAAAACATCTATGAAACACCTGGCTACTCTTCTTATTTTCCAAGCCGAATGTACTATGCTTGCCAAGTCAACCTCAAACAAGCCTCATTCCCCCAAAAATCATCTTTCATTGATGGCCTAGCATGGCCATCAGTCATTTTTAAAAGAAAAGCTTAGTTTTTCTGTGTGCAGAATGTGCTTACCCTATTACTGCTTTGTGTTCTCTCCACCCGCTTTCTCAAATACAAGATACTACTCATTCTGAGGAAAATATTCCCTTTAACTGTCAAACCTCAAAGATGAAACCCAATTCCAGGCAAAATCTTGCTAGCAGAATGTAAAATTTGCAAAAATAAAAATTTAGCCAAAGTCTACATTGTCTTCTATCCCTTACTAGCTTTAAATGCCAAGAAAAAATGCGGTTTACAGCTGTGCTTTAAATTTCCTTAGGAGTTTGCTGAAGTCCATTCACTTTAAAGCATTCTTCAGCCTCATCACCTGTGACATGTTATGTGCATTGTAACATGAAACAAGAACTTAAATCAAAGCATACTACATACCTCATTCAGCTATAAAATTTTTAAGGAAAATTAGAAAAACTCCATGGGGAAAGCTCTTGCAGTTCTTTTGAAGTTAATACACACAATTAATTATTGAATTTGCAGATCATTAATTTATAGCCCTGGTTCTAAAGGAGAGATATTTGACTCATGTCACACCACAGCTCCTGACTCAGATGTTGTGTTTCTTGACTCATTAAAAAGAGATGGGTGGCCTGCTATTTATTTGTGCTTGCTGATGCAAACAATGTCTCCCAAAAGACAAGCAAGATCTCACTCAGAGGAAAAGTAAAAGGACTAATACTGAAAATCAACAAGGAGAACAGTCATGCCATGCTTGCTTCTGCTTCAGCAAAATCTTACATTCCTGGCTAGATAGACATGGACTAGCTGGATAGCTTGATGGTAGCTGGTGATTAAATTAGCAGCAGTTCTTTTTACTGGAATTGCTTCTCACAGACCACACTAAAAATATTGCAGGAAACCACAAGCTTTCTTAAGTAGAAACAGTAAATAACCTTCCAATTGGCTACTGAATTTACTTTCATCAGATTTATATCACCACATATATTATGTGGTATATATTAGAGACAACTTTGCCATTCAATAGTAATAAAAAAAAAGCTCCGGAGAAAAGTAAGTAAGCATTTTAACACATGTCAAAAAGAACACTTAATACATTTTGGTTTTCTGTCTTTTATTCACAAATGCTTGCTTGACTACTATTTAATTTTTTTAAAAGCTGTTCTATAGAACAACACATGTAAGATTCAGTAAGAATGTCTATATTCCAGTGAATTTTAAAATCTATTAATGAGAGACTGAATACTCATATGTATTGGCGAATAATGCACAAACAGAAAAATATGGATCTAGGTTATACAACCGAGGCATAAAATCAGGAACTGGATGTTATTTGTGTAACTGAGGTAACCAGTCATAAAGGAAGTAATGAAGAGGCAGTACTTACAATTTCAGAAATGATATTAGATTTGTTTCTTCAAACTCTTGGACCAGCTACTCAAAATAAAGAACACATTTCTGGAAATCATGGTGTATTCATAGAAAGGCTGAAAGCAACACATTCTTAAAAGCCATTGCCATAGCTAGGACTTCTCTGGAGAATTTCAGATGCATAGTAAGATTTTGAATTATAGCCGGAAGTTGTATGAACAGCTATATATTCAAACTTTTAAGGAAATAGTTAAGTTTGAATATGAGTTTTCAAAGCAGTTATTCCCATAAAACCACGTTAGGATAATCCTTCTATGAAAAATTAATCCGTACGTATTTCTCTGAAAATAGGTCGCAGACTGAATTGCTAAGGGATGCTGCGACTTCTCTCATGACTTATGAATTCTTTCCTTTCTTATCTGGCAAGTTACATCTTTCCCAAGAGACTGAAAAATCCAGTTTCCCTCTAAAGAAGTATAATTCCTATGCACTACAACTTTAAAATACAAAATACCTAAACTATCTATCAAAATATCTGTATCAACTGTTGCTGCTAATGTTTACCTTAAAAAGAAAAATATTATATATTTGTGACATTACTGATTGTTATAGCTCCCTGTAGAATACCTAGCTTTTCTGTTATTTACATGACGTATGAGCATTCTTAACAGTAGTTATTTATATTGGCACTAACTGCTACTCATAATAACAGAAGCTATTTTTGAAGGTGGAAGGAAGGAAGACTATTATGCATATTACAAGCTTAAAGTGGTACAGTTTTAATCCATAAAAATATTAAGCTCAGATGGAATCATTTTTTTCTTCCTATTATTTTATTTGATGCTACACTTAAAGGAAAATCATGTTTTAGAAAGAAACAGAAAAAAGAATTTGAATTTTGAATGATACAAAGAAAATATTTATAAAGCAGCTACTTTGAAAAATCAAAATTTCCTTCTAATTGTGGAGATAAGGATATTATTGCCAGGACTTTGTGAGTTTAATAAGTTTTACATTATGTGTAGCACTACTGTTAACAAATGATTACAATTGATTAAAAATTGTTGTTAAAAATAAAAGCCATGCTTACAGACTATGAACCTTGAAATACACAGTCATTAATACAGGTCGAATAGTTTATGTTTCCAAAATGTGCATGTTGTCTGGTAGTGTGTTTTTTCCCCCATTAGTCTTCAAACATCCTCACTTCAACAGAGATGTAGGATACTGTTTCCAATTCAATTGAAATACAATTCAATAGAATTTTCCTACTGCTCTACAATCTTTTTTTTTTTAATAAGGAACAGTACTGATATAGTATTATCATACTGATAATAACTGCAGTTGAAGCTGCTTGAAGTGTGCTAGTCAATAGAAAAAAAAAGAAGAAGAAGAATTAAAAAGAAACCGAGTATTGTTTTTATTGTAGTTAAAAAAGGGCTTTTGGGAAACAATTTAGATGGACTCCGGCCTGCATTTAAGACAGCATATATATTAGCATGTGGGTGAACGTGAGAAAGAACAAATGATTTGGAATCAGAAGGATCCCACAGAATTATTGTCTTTGGAAAATTCTCCTTGAAATTGCTGGAAATAGATACAAAACAGAATGTCCATTTGGAGGACAGAGCACCCAGTTTGGAAGACACCCTGCAAGCATAACAAGGAGGTTTGGTTTATTGTTTCAGCTGAGACATGAGCCTGTATCTTTTAAACTCTGTTTTTTAGAATGGAATAAGTTCCAACACAATGTTTAATTTCAACAAATGCAGCCAATGTGCTCAGTGGCTTTTGCTGTATCCCAGATATCCTACTTACAGATACCAGTGCTGGGTGCTACTGACAAAAAAAAATGTGTTTTTTTTTTAAATATGTTCTTCAAGTTTGTATATCTATTTCATTCATTCTATGGGATGAATGATTGTGAGATCTCATGCTGCTTTTCCCATAAAATTGCTGAGGAATGGGAACTTGAATAGCTCATATTTAGTGCACTCTCGCCACCATTTACCCGTGTGAGTGATTGAGTGAAAGAGGGTGGGGAGAGGGCGCAGGAGGGAAGCATGACGGCAACGAACGGGCCCGTATGGGAGCACCAGCAGCAGCTCCGCGGCGGCTCCGTGTCCCTGCTCCGTGTGTGGCGTTTCCGGCGGTTGTGGGGCAGGAGGGCCCTCTGGTGCGTGTGTCCTTCCTGGCAGCGCCCGCGGCTTCCCGGCCTGCAGTGCAGAACCGGTGTGACCCTTGTGGGTGTCACAACCAGAGCGTCCTGCCAGCCTGTGGGTGTAGTGGGGGGACGGATAGTCACACTCGTATGGTGCAAGCAAATCTTGCAGAGTATTAAAAGGAGTAGTGGGAGAGACCGAGTGGCAAAGGGTAAAGGAGGAGAGAGGCAAGGATACTGATATGTCACCTTTTGGTTTGTACATAGGAATCAGCTCATCCAAGCTGCGCATTAGTGCTTTACCCAAAGATTTTTGAACGGAAATGAACTGACCCCAGTAGCTTTCGCTCGGGCTCAGAAATCTGTACAATTGCAACAAAGTGCAGTGGGTCCATTTTCCAGTCTATCAGGCTAAAAATGTGCCATTCTTCACAGTCCTCTGGGCCTATGGCTTTATCACTCTGCCTTGAGGCGGCCAAATCCAACCCTAACCAGACTATTTCCAGGCCTTGGGATTGCAAGGAGATGTATTTTTGGGCTCTGCTAGTTTAGTCAGCAGCTGTTGAAGAAATAATGGGTGATGAGTTAGGGGACCGTATAGATTCAGAGACGAAGCTTAATTTCCATTAGTGCTTGGATTCTTGTGATGTGTTGACATTAAAGACATTCAATAGCCTAGATTATTACCTTTGGAAGTGAAATGGACACATCTAAGCCACAAAAATTGTATATAATTTC